TGCAGGGATGCAGATGAGTCAGGACCATTCTTTATGGTAATCTATGGGGGAGCACTAGACATATAATCACTGAGATGATGAAGATTAAATGATTGGTACACACATGCCTGTAACTCCAAATAAACTGTCAGTTTGTCTCATATTGGATTTTCTGGAAGAAATCTCTTTTATGAATGAATGAATGAGTATACTTTATTTGCATTATACAATATAGGAAATAAGCAAGACAATTTACAAACACAACGATACAATTGTATAAGTACAGTAAGGCGGTGTTATTGCTGAGAGCAATCTTTTCAAGACAACCTTAAGGTAATGGACTAATTGTTGTACAAGTAGGTAAAAAATATAATGTAAAAATATATGAATTTAGAGATAAGCTCGTCCTTGAGCACATTATGTTTAATTTATTATTCTGATACAATACCTTTTTTATGTACAACAAAGAATTAAAGAATAAACTTGGATATTTTTACATAGGTATCACAGATTCTCGTAGAAAATGGTAAATTGCTAAAACAATTTTATATCCTAATATTATAAAATTTCCAATTACGAATCACCAAAAGTGACAATCTTAGAACCGGATCTCGATAAATAGTTTTTTAACAGGATAACAAATAAAAATAACAAGGAAACAAATTGCCTATGTTGTTGTAAGACAACGACCTTTGCACAGTCGAATTCTATTAGAGGACGAAGCAACTGAATCCTAAACAAACCGTATACGCCGCGCGACCGAGTCAAGAAACCTTCTGTGATCGTGAGCGGACTAAACTCGAGCCGTAATGTTGAACTTCTTTCATAGTTATGTAACATAACAATGTTATGTGACTAATGGATTTAAAAATAAACATATTCGCGCAAAATATTCTGATCACGAGACTGTATTAAAGTTCCGAGCAAAGTGGCTAAACAAACTATTGCAATATACGTTCTAAAGGCTTATTTTTAAACCTACTTCCAAAACACGAATTCTTTTTTTTATTATTATATTTATTTAAGTACTAGTATTTTTGTCCGCTACTTTGTACACGATATTGGATGTTTTTTTTTTTATTTATTTATCCAAAGCACAAAATACATTCTATAAAAATAGATACCACATAACAACATTTCAAAAATTATAAATTTAAATTACAGTTACAATTATTTACAGTCGGTACAATTCTAATTTTTTTCTTTTTAATTACTATTAAAAAGAAAAAAATAGAATTACTTACTATTCTTATTATAAAGATAATATTTTTGTTATACAACTTAGAATGGCAAACAAGCTGACGGCCCACCTGATGGAATGTGGTAACCGTCGTCTATAGACATGAGCAGTACCATGGACATAACGTTTTTTTTTTCTCTCTCTCTCTTCCACCTGTGTAAATCATATAATTGTTCCACGACCTTCCTTTCGTTCATATTGTCTGATTTGGTTGAGTCTTGATTGTTAAAATATATCCTATGATGTCCTAACATTGACACTGTTAGGACCAGACGGAGACTTTGTACAAAAGTCGATTGCTTGGGCACCTCTATCCCATTCATGTTTCTACCGTGAAGCAGTTGTGTTTGCATGGCTGTGTTTCGGTTTGAAGGGTGGGATATGGCGTGAATTTACTGGGTACAGAGGAATAACACCTGAGTCCTCAGAAATGGCAACGCATGGGGGATATCGTGGGCAAAACAGTATACTCTGTTATGTCCATGGTACTGCTCATGTCTATAGGCGACGGTTACCACTTTCCATCAGGTAGACCGTCAGCCTGTTTGCCATTCTAAGTTGTATAAAAAAAAAGATTAAGTGCCTAAAAGGACAAAACTAAATAATACTAAAAAAAAAAGATTTATATGTACATAAGTATCTAGGTAGCTTACTATACCTGTCGCTAGATATATATTCTGCATATATTAAATATATATATATATATATATATATATATATATATATATAATTAAATTTATTTATACAAATGCCTCCACCCATTGTACTAATACAAACAACTTTACACTTCTTTGAATTCACCCTTAAAATGGTGAAATGAAGTGAAAAATGTTTGTAAGTATAGGAAAATTATATTATAAACCAGTAACCCGCCCCGGTTTTGCACGGTTTTTTTGTTTCTGAAATACAGTTCATGTGTAGGTCCTGGCATAGAATAGGCCACCATTCTATTGGGTGTCATAAGAGACGACTAAGGAAGCTTATGGTGGAGGGATGTGCAGCAGCGTTACTCTTACCAACACACCTGCCAGGGGGGAAAGGGATTGTTTGTAATGGGATCTAGCTGAACCATTGCTAGCAATACACCCTATCAGTTCGACCTCCACGTGGTTATCCCTGGAAGCTATCGTTGTTCTATTCTAGTGGAATTCGTCATAATGAGGTAACTGACCAGCTTTCATCATCATCTATCATCCCTCACTGGTGCCCCGCCAACGTATACCGATAGCGCAGGCGGGGTTAGTATTCCATTATCATCCATTAAAAAACCCCCACCTGCCAAGCGTGACAACTACTGGCAAAATCCCATTTATGGGGAAAGCTATGTTAAGCAGTTAACATTTAATGGTTAATACAAGAGTTCATATTATTCGCTGATGACATAGGTAAAAGAATTTTTAAAATTTAAAATTTTTTTTAATTTCACTATTATAAAAAACAAATCGAATCTTTTCTAGTGCGAACATGTAGATAATTAGAATATGGTATTCATTTTTTATTTTTGGTAAACACGCCGATGGCCCACCTGATATAAAGTGGTAACCGTCGCCTATAGACATGATAGTACCATGGACGTAACAGAGTATACTGTTTCGCTCATGATACTCCTCATGCGTTGCCATTCCTGAAGGACTCAGGTGTTATTCCTCTGTACCCTGTAAATTCACTGTCATATCCCACTCTTCAAACTGAAACACAGCCATGCAAACAAAACTGCTTCACGGTAGAAACACAAATAGGACAATGGTGCTCAAGCAAATGATTTTTGTTCAAAGCATCCCTCTGGTGATCATATCAAAGTTATGCTAACAAACTCGTCAGTAAACTCTAATAGGGTATATTATGTCACAGTTAAGTCTTTAAGTTAATAACAAAATTTCAAATTACTAATAACAATAACTTTTCGTGTAAGGTACTTTTATAAAAATATATATGTTATAATTTATTACATTAAAAAATGAAAAGTCGAAAAGCCAATCAGATTCAACAAATGAGAGTTTTCCAATTTGTACAGAAACAATCCGAAAAGTTCAAAGCATTTTTTTTTTTGTAATTTCATCACGTACACGATACGGTTTTCATTAATTCTCTGTTAGGCCCAGTTCTATGTGGATACAGTACAAAAAAGACAATAATAATTCTTCTGAAATATCTATTTTTACGGTACAGATAAAAGGCGGCGCCGTCCGCCATTTTCCCGCGTAATTAAACGTCAAGCGGCCATTTTGTGCGTGTAATAAACATGCACGACCGTGCGAGTTAGCTGTGAACCTGTCACGTGACACACTGTACACTGACGCGTTTTTGTAATTAAATAAGATTTGATTGATATCTTTATCCATAATAATTAATTAAAACTAAAGTTGTGTAACTTTACGTATGATATTTTTATTTCTCGGTTAATTAATTTGTTTGAATATACTTCCAAATAAATGTGAATTTGGTTAAGTAAATTATAAAAAAATTATATAGGAAAATAATATTAAAATGTCCTATTCAAAATTGAAAAAAGAAGTTAAAATTAATCATAAATAAGTTGTAAATTTTTTAGTCTTGTATAAATTAACATTTTCTTCCGTACATAATTAATAAATATGTTCAATTGTGGTAAAAAGAAAACTCTACCAATATGTTATTAAACCCTGTCAAATACTTCACAATATAGTAGCAAATAAACATACAGTTCACTTAACCGGTTACCTTAACCGGTTAACATAGCCTATGAACGCCTTTAATACCAGGAACATTGCACGGACATTGCCGACACTGAAAATAAGAAATAAAGTCATTTTTTTAGATCCATACAGTTACTCTTATAAAAACAGCAAGGAGCTCATTCCATAATCTGAGCGTTCGTGGGAGAAAGCACCTCAAAACTAGGTTTATGCAGATTCTAAGACATGGGAGTGAACTCTCTGACTTTGACCAATAGTACAATAGTAGAAGGTGGCCATGAACATCATGCCAAACAATTCCTTTAAGTAATCTATTAAAGAAGTGGTAGAACATACAGAGGAAAGCCTCTTTAGGGACTTAAAAATTTAATACCGCAATAATTTAATTCCCACAATATTTTACTTTATAATTTAAGATCTGTCGCTATTAAGCTTCACTGAAATGTTGTTCACAGATATTTAACAAAACAATATTATCCGAGAAAAGAAAACACAATCGGAAAGTTTAACTGCAAGAATTTTTTTGTACGGAATCTTAAAACAAACCATTGTGCAAAAAAGTCACGATGCCTCCTGTCTGCTACAGCTTTCCTAAAACAATATATAAAGTAATGGAAAACATGTGGGAAATTACTTTTACCAAGTTTAATTTTATATAGAATTATTATATATAAACATATATCTTTTATATAAATAAAAATGATTTGCCAAATGTTAATACATTCGAGAACTGTTCTTTCAACTGTACGTATCCGAGCGCATTACTTCAGAAAGGCTGCACTTATTTGACCAATTGGTTTTTGTTATATTTGTAATTGGCATGATAAGAGTTATATAAAACAAAATAATTGAGAAATCGTGCGATAATAATAAAAAATAGAATTAATAAAATTCTATATAAAAAATGAGCGAGTAACTGAGGAGGGAGATTTAATCTCTCAGTGTTTTCTCTCGGTAATCTTTCAAATTTAGCCTCTGGGAAGCAACAGTCGACGAATATATCTGCCTACCCTATTAGATATTACAGTCGGTATTTTTATACAAATAAAAGTAATTTTATTTATATTTAAATCTAATTTAAAAGTAATCATATTTATACTGTGTTACTGTCTTCTCAATTCAGATTTAAATGATTTTTATTCAAATATACTTATTTACAATCACTTTTAGACCGTCATCTTTGAAATTAACAAGTTAAATTATGTTGTAATAGTAATGAGATTTAATTATATTATACGATGTAATAAAAATTCTTCTTGTAAATATAATTAATTTCTCAGTTTAATCAAATGCAGATATTGTAACAAAACATTGCACTAGCATTCCTTTAAAATACCAAGGAGAATACATCATAAATTATGCATTCATTGACACCACAGTGCCTGTAGAGCACGGTTGGACTCAGCCGTTAAAATTATCTAACGTCACGTCACTACTGCGATCATGATCACAGACAATTAGTCCATTAACCCAAAATAGATCCAATACAGTCCATCACCCTCACAAAGACCTAATTATTGGCTGCAAAAGAAAGCGATTTCACCAAAAGTCATGAATATTAAAACGCTACATTAGGTGTTTTCGTAAGTTCGTCACCGCGCTATGTTTTCTGGTCACGTACACGCGGGGAACAATGACAGTTTCTAATCGGCATCAATTACACAACCGATCATTGCCGCTTTAAGGGGCCAATGTCGTGGTCCACTCGTCTAGAATAACGAATATGAAGGAGATATGACACATCCGGAATAAACGGAAACCTCCGACGACATACGACACTCAGAGACGATACATGTCTGCGGAATATGTATAAAAGCGCTACACTTTCGGAACACAGCATCAATCGACTCTGGTCAGTCAGAGCAAAAACACCAAACTAAAAATGAAGGCTTACGTTTGTGTTCTACTATTGGCAGCTGTGGCCCTAGCTGAGCCACCTCGGTATAGGCAAACGAAATATAGATTCGCAAGAGGAGAACTCGAAGAATCCGGTTCTGGAAAAGAGGATAAGGCGAAGACTGAAGAAGCTCCATATCCTGCAGCTGGATTCAAACCATCTAAAGAATTTAAATTGCCATCTCGACAAGAAGTTGCTCCACCGTCTACTTCTTATGGCGTTCCTGATGACAGCTACCAAGCTCCATTCAGGATCCAAACACAACCCGAAGTTGAATATGGTGTACCAAGAAACACCGAAGCGATGGTGAAAAGAGCAGAAGAAAAAGAGGGAAGCGAAGAAGAAAGCAAGGAAGGTGAAAAGAGTGAGAAACCTGAAAAAAGCGAAGAAGGTGAGAGTGAAGAAAAAAGTGAAGTAGAAGACCTTAAAGGCGAGGAGAAGAAAAAAGGCGGAGAAGAAGAAAAGAAGGGTGAAGGTGAAAAGAAAGAAAAAACTGAAGAGGAGCCAAAGGATGATGTGGTGAGTGAACAGGGTGCGTACTACGTACTCCTTCCTGGCTCCCAGTTGCAAAGAGTCCAATACAACACGCAGAATGACTTAACTAAGATGGCATATACTGCTCAACTCCAGTACAAAGATGAAGACCGTGCTCCATTATATATCTACACTGCAGTTCCTGAGTATACCGTACCTTTAGCTCAGTATCAATTCCCGACCTCCGCCGCCTATTTCCAATTATATTAGAACCATTGAAAAAATAGCATTTTATTGCAAATTGATGCAATTTAAATTTAAAAGGTGCTCTTTTCAAATAGTCCATTATGCGCTAACTCGCCGTTGATTCATCCTAAATGTTTCCCTTTCATCTCGCACTGGGGTTTTGACTAGTTATATAAATTATTTATTTATTTTTAGACCTCGCAATAAACTGTGATTTACATAACATATTTGTTTTAATTTTCACTTTGAAACAGTTCCATTGAATTCTGGCAAACGGTAATGTGGTATTTGCAAAGCTGTTTATCATAACAATGTCTGACTGATTTGGTAATATTCTTACCACGCCGTGTTCGTTTCCAATCAGTTTAACCTTTAGAAACATAAACAAAACGGTTTACACAAGAAATACGTAATAATAGCTCATTTAAATAATTTTGTTTTAATGGAAAAATCTTAATTACCCTACATTTTATGGGCAAATTCGTGTGACCTTCTCGCGTTTCAACTTAAACGATGGTTTATTCTTGCATAAATTATAATATGATCGCCATTTTAAAATAAATTTTAAGATAATTTGCATACTTTACTTATAGAAATATTTCCACTCGACCTATTTTTTTTTTATTAATAAGGATATCATGTTAGGCACTATAGTTTCTTTATAGCAAACAAGAGAAGGAATCATAATACATAATAATTTTTGCAAATGAAAATTTTAACAATCACATTCGTGACTTCTTTATAGCTAAATTAATCGTGTGGACAAAAATTTATTATTTTATTTAAGTATAAAAAATATATAAATTATCATTTCTATAACAGAAAAAAACCGGTTACGTGCGAGTCGGACTCGCGCAACGAGGGTTCCGTACAAAATCACAAACTTAATTTTTTTTTTGTGGAATAACTACAAATTTACAGTTTTCGGATTTTCCCCTTTACTTCTATTTAGGTTGCTTCTTGCCAGATTTCATGATTCTAGGTCAATCCCTTTAGATTTTAATTCCTTTTGCAAATGTCAAAATATGCGATACAAATGGAATATAAACTGCCGTATCTTTTGATTGTGTCGATTTTGAAGCTTGATTTTTTTCGCTGCTTTAAAAGATTGCAGATCTGAGTATAATAGCATGATATTAATTTCAACTTGATACCTCCACGCGATCCTGAGAAAAAGCATCTTGACAGATAGATGGACGAACAGATGAACAACGATCTTATAAGGGTTCCGTATTTCCTTTGGAGGTACGGAACCCTAAAAATGTTTTATTATTCAGTCAACTTTAAACTTTGTGCATTACAATTCCCAGAGCATATTTTTATCTTATAATCCGCATGCCGTTCAAAAGATCCGTTCCTAGGAATGCAATTGAGTGGTGCAGTACGTTTTGTATAACGAATCTGGTTCACCGAGCTTTATTCATATATCCAGGGTCGTAGAATAACTAGGTTTCTTTTCGACCGTCTTTTGAACACGGTTTTCAATTAGGTTATACTTTTTATGTCTATTAACTTATAACTCCGTCAGTTGTAAACCGATTTGAAGAATTTTGTTTACATCTGTAAGGATGCACTTCCCAACTTATCTAGTTATTTAGAAATTTTATCAAAATCGGAGCAGTAATTTAGTTTTTAAATGAAAATAATTGGTAATGGCTGAACTGAAGTCGTATTTTTTTTTGTGGAATGTTTATTTATTTATTTAAAAAAAACCAACAGCGCTTTACTAATAAAATTAACAAACATTTTATAACAGAGTAGTATGGCCAACATGTTAACTTAATTATTTAAGTGTAAATAAAATAAATAATATAAATTTATGTAATTGTAATAAATTTGTATGATTTCATACAATTTAATATAAATTACGACACAAAAAGAGGGAGTACTTAATTCATTTGTATTTTTTGTGTGTATGTTACACAATATATCACTCATGATACCCCTTTGCGTTGCAATTCCTGAGGGTTCAGGTGTTTTTGCTCTGTACCCTGTAAATTCACGCCATATCCCACCCTTCAAACAGAAACACAGACATGCAAACACAACTGCTACACGGTAGAATCACGAATGGGACAGAGGTACCCAAGCACACGACTATTATATAAAGTCGCCTATAGACATTTATTTATTTTACATGAACAAAAACAGACATCACAGAGTATACTGTGTCGCCGATAATACCTTATGTTGTCATTCCTGAGAACTAAAATATTATGCCTTTGTACTTTATAAATTCACTGCTATATCCCACCTTTAAAACACAGCCATGCAAACACAACTGCTTCACGGTAAAACCAGGAATAGGACAGTGGTAGCCAAGCAGAGGACTTTCGTACAGTCTCTCTACGGCGAATTTAAATATTTTTTCAATCGGGTATCTACGAAATATTGAATTATTTTTTATGCAGTTTTTCATTTCAAAAGAGTAATAGACTATTCAGCAACGATGCATCGTGATTAATATCATTATTTTATGTAGCGAATTTTATCTACTTCCCCATAAGGAGAGTTTTGCCAGTAGTTGCCACGCTTGGCAGACGGATTGGCAATCGTAGTTAGGTTTTTACAGATGTTTTAAGAGGGACGCTGGTGCCCATCCCTTTACCATAAGTTGCCTTAGTTACCTCTTACGAAACCCACAGGAAAGGAAGGGGTGGCTCATTTTATGCGGGAACCGACACGGAGATCTACTTAATATCAATTTCCCCTAAAATATGGTTGATCGCAATGATGACTCATTTGACTGTTTCATCCGTCATACTCGTAGACGGGTGCTACCTGTAGGAATTGCTCTGCTCTGGTCACTGCAACTGAGTTGTTTTATTGATTTGTTTTAATTATGTACTAATATATATATATATATATATATATATATATATATATATATATATATATATATATATATATATATATATATATATATATATATATATATATATATATATATATATATATATATATATATATATATATTAATTTTATGATCTGATACCGCTTAGTAGTTTGTAAACTTTTTGAAAAAAGCAACAATTGAGTTTCTTGCCCGTTTCTCTTGAAAAAAAAATCATATATATACATATTATCCACAGAAGACTTTGTACAAAATTCGTTTGCTTTGGCACCTCTGTCCCATTCGTGTTTCTATCGTGAAGCAGTTGTGTTTGCATGGCTGTGGTTTGGTTTGAAGAGAGGATATGGCAATGAATTGACAGGATATAATGGAGTAGCACCTAATTCCTCAGGAATGGAAACACATATGGAGTATCATGGGCGAAACAGTATACTCTGTTATGTCCATGGTACTACTCATATCTGTAGGCGACGGTTACCACTTTCCATCAGGTGGGCCGTCAGCTTGTTTGCTATTCTAAGTTGCATAATAAAACCTACTATTCAAAAATGCTTAAATCTTAGTTTACTTGAACAAAAATCTTTTTTTCTTTCTTTCAATAAGCGACATAATAATTCCAGTGTATTTCGGTAAAACTAATCAAACCTAAAAGGCAGTTCAGTGGAAACTATTGTCGGAATTGAAAGCCCATAACGATGGAATGCATCCCACATGATCCCATATGAATGCATCCCATATGAGCATGCAGCACACAAATTATTCTCTACTATTGTTTGATTAATCAATATATAACGTTGAAATGAGGTTGCTAGTTATTGAAAACTTGATTGATTGATATTTGAGTACAAAGCAGAGGGAAACTTTATACAAAAGTCGTTTACTTGGCACCTCTGTCCTATTCGTGTTTCTACCGTGAAGCAGTTGTGTTTGCATGGCTGTGGTTTGGTTTGAAGAGTGGGAAATGGCAGTGAATTAACAGGGTACAGAGAAATAACACCTGAGTCCTCAGGAATGGCAATACATGGGTAGTATCATGGGCGAAACGGTATACTCTGTTATGTTCACGGTACTGCTCATGTCTATAGGCGACGGTTACCACTTTCCATCAGGTGGGCCGTCAGATTGTTTGTCACAAGGGTCTAATGACGAGCTCTTCTGATGGTAAGTGACTACCGCCACCCATGGGCACTCGCAACATGGGCAGAATTGAAAATTTTCCAATCTTTTAAAAAGAAATATGCTCTTTTCTTGAAGGTTACAAACTCCAAAAAAAAATCCATCTAATAAAAGTACAAAATATTTTTTTTTTATTTTATTATTTTTAAATGCTTAATTTGTCCATATTTTTTATTTCGCATTTTCTATCCGCTATCATTGGCTTAATGTATCCGTTTCTTTTTGTGTAAATAAAACTGATTTATGGTTAACTGTAAAATAAAATGTAACCAAGGCATTTCCTAGTAGTATCAAGTCTAGTCACGTTGCCAACTGCACATAGAAAACGTATCAATGACACTATGTATTTATTAAATGTAAGAGACAAAAATAACAATACGTAGGTAAAACCTTCAAATACTATATCGTTTAGCAAAGTGCCTAATACAATTGTCATATAACAAAAAATCACCGTGTGTGCTAAAATGGGCTATCCAATGATTAAGGTTTGCCACACAATGATTAAAGAATTATTATTTTATTATTATTATTTATTATTATGGCGTAGCCTCCCCCATACCATAGGGGGTTTTGCCAATAGTTGCCACGCTTGGCAGCCTTGTTGGCATCCGTAGTAATATTATAAATGTGAAAATGAGTTTATTTCTTACCTATTATTAGCCTTAAAGGCTAAACCAATAATTATGAAATTTTGTATAAATATAATATACGGAGAAGGACACTTTTTATTCCAAAAAAATCAATGTAAATCCAATCATATGGATGATATAGCCGTTATATTCTGTTCTTTTTAATTTAATTTTTTATGCAACTTAGAATGGCAAACACGCTGACGGCCCACCTGATGAAAAGTAGTAACCGTCGCCTATAGACATGAGCAGTACCATAGACATTACAGATTATACTGTTTCGTGATGACCCTCATGATACCCCTCACGCATTGTACCCAGTAAATTCACGCCATATCCCACCCTTCAAACCGAAACACAGCCATGCAAACACAACTGCTTCACGGTAGAAACACGAATGGGACAGAGGTGTCCAAGCAAACAGCTTTTGTACAAAGCCTCCCTCTGGTAAAATGACCAAAGCTGATTCACTTCTACCAAATCTATATCGCAGAAAGAGTTCGAGTGGGCATTAATCCCCGGTCGCTCGCGGGCGGGTTAACTGCAAGCGACCGCATTACTTATATTGATATTTTTATTAATATTTGATATAATGAAGCATGAGCACTTGCGCCGAGCAATAAAAATCACGTATTTAAATCCACTTATACTTTTATTTCCTTTATATTTTACAACAATTCCCTCAGCCATATATCTTACATTTTTCACACACACCAAAGACAATCATGCAGCGCCCTCTGGCCTACTCTACCGTTAACTACTCTTTCGTTGTCTATGCCTAATGTTGCAATTATTAAAAATAATAATTGTGGTGACTGGAGACATGAAAACAAACTCAACAACTTCTGCCCACCACACGGCCAATGTTACTATATTTCACTTGAATTGTTCCAATATCATTGTATATATTTCTGGTATACCATAAAGAGTTAAATAATAATAGTAATAATGTATTAAATATTATCAAACAATCAATATTAAAAGTATGTTAATGAAAACACTATTTCGTATGAAAGGTATTACGTGGAAAGAATACATTAAATAAAAGCTTTATATTTCAAAAGGCTTAATCAAGGTAATTTGTACGCAGAATAGGCGAAGGCCTTAATATTATAAAAGATACGGTTACTTTAAAAATAAACTTCCATTTTTAACCCACTCAAAAGAGGGTAAAGGGATTGTTAGCAATGGATTTTGACAGCCCCATTGTTAGCAATACAGGTTATAAGAAGTAAAACTGCATACATATACGTCAGGCAACACTCTTGAAACACACATGCCTGCAATTTTCAACACTGAAAGAGCTTATAGGAGAGAGATAAAAACTATAAAGATCTGTACCTATCTTGAAAAGAGATAGAAACATAGTAATGTGCACGTTAGAGCAAGATAGACAGGCGGGTCATTTACGTGTACAAAGCGGTCTGTAGGGAATTGGGGGTGCGGTAAACAAATCAATTTCTGATTTGAAATGTATAATTTTCTGTAAATGAATGTAATTACTTATAGTGACGGCTACAGTATCTGAATATAAAATGAGATTAAAATAATAATTTATTGTGTACTAGCGGTCCGTCCCGGCTTCGCACGAGTGGACATTTGTACATTTTAAAAAGTGGCCATTAAGGCTGCACCCGCAACGGAAGCTTAAAAATGGAGTAACTTCTCCCGTTTTCCCAACATATCCCTTCACTGCTCTGCTCCTATTGATCGTAACGTGATGAAAAGTATACTATAACCTGCCCTGAAGGATAATTGTACCAAGTTTCGTTAAAATCCGTCAAGTAGTTTTTGTTTCTATAACGAACATATATACAGACAGATAGACAAAAAATTTACTGATTGCATTTTTGGCATCAGTATCGATCACTAATCACCGCCTGATAGTTATTTTGGAAATGTATTTCATGTACAGAATTGACCTCTCTACAGATTTATTATAAGTATAGATTTAAAAAAAAAAGAAATAATATAAATAAATAATAATTAAGAAAAAAATTGCAAAATTACGTATAATTCTATAATTTCCTTTATTGCTGCCAATATATTTGTCTTTTGCAGTGATGTAAAAATATTTTTCGCTCAAATAGACTAAATAACAAATTTCCGGAATCGCTTCTGTTGACGGCATAATAAATTTCGTTTTTGATCATCCACAAAAGCAAATTGCTTACAATTAAGTATTATAAAATGACAGAGTTACTAGTAAATATTTATGGAAAATTCAACTTGAAATTTCAAGATTAACAGTTTAAGACTTATAACCCGATTTCTAAGGAAAATCATAAATAGAACTTAATTCTAATTATGTTACTATAATCTCTTTTATATATGTATATATGTGTATATGTATGTATGTGTGTGTATATGTGTATATATATATATATATATATATATAATAATGAGTAGGGATAATTTTCATATTATTATATGTATTACATCTCCCATATCTAGAACTAACAAAATTTTTCATCGTGCCTCCTACCAAATTGTTTATAATTACTCCTCTCCATCCAAAGGTTGCCAGGAAGAGATCGCTCTTAGCGATAAGGTCGCCCATTGTTTTCTCATTGTGATTATTTCTTGTAATTATTTATATTTATAATAAGTTTACTATTGTAATCTTTTGGAGGAAACAATAAAGAGTATCTATCTATCTATCTTTTCATTTAAGAGTTTCCTCTTGTCGGTGCAACTAATTCATGCATCTTCCTCCAGCCAGCTCTATCCCAGTCCATATCCTTGACCTCCTTATACGAAATGACACCTAGTGTTTCTTTTATCTGTCCCATGTAGTTATTCCTCGGTCTTCCTCTTCCTCTTTTGTCCTCTATTTTTCCTTCTACTATGCTCTTAAAAAAATCGTCATGTCGTATAAGGTGTGTGTCGTATAGTAACGGTACCCGTGTAAATATAAAATTATCTTGTACATAAATAATAATTTGAAAAGAGTATTGTTGAGATTCTTATAGGTTCTTCTCAGCAAATAGCAACATCCCAAACTTAGCAGTATAATCATAAAAAAACTGATAATTTAAGAGAACTTGTAAATAAGTCTATTTAATTAATTAATTAATTCAACAGTATACTCTGTTATGTCCATGGTACTGCTCATGTCTATAGGCGACGGTTACCACTTTCCATCAGGTGGGCCGTCAGCTTGTTTGCCATTCTAAGTTGTATAAAAAAAATCTGAAAGGACACAGATTAATCCCATATTTTTTTTATTAAAATCCGTTTAGTTTTTAAATCAAAATAACTTTTTGCTACTATTGAAATTGTCGCCATGTTTGGCAGGCTAATTAGTAACCGCAGTTAGGCTATGACGATATTTTGAGAGGAACAATACTGCCCATCCTTCGATCATTAAGTTCTCTTAGTCGCTTCTTACGATACCCACGGGTAAGAAAAAGGTTGCTAATTCTATGTCGGAACAGCATTATTTGAAATATCTAATCAGAAATACATAACAACAAGCATAGAATAGAATTAAAAAAAGCAACAGCTGTAATTCTTGCTCGTTCTTCTCAACTAAAATTACATTCCGAACTGAGTTGTAGATTTTTTAATGGATGATAATGAAATAGTAGCACCGCCCGCGCTAACTGACGGGGCACCAGTGAGTGATGATAGGTGAGGATGAAAAGGCAGGTCAGTTAGCCCTTCATGATGAATATACCAGGAATTCAGTATGATGGTCTCCAGGGGCAATCACGTGGAGGTCGATCTGATAGCGTATATTGCAAGAAATGGGACTGGTGGTCCATATTACTAACAATCCCTTCCCTCCCTGGGTGGTAGATTAAAAAAAGACTATTCAGAAATTATTATTATTAAGTTACTTGAATATTTTTTTATTTAATTAAAATTCAAAGTAATTTAATTAAAATTTAAATTATTTTAATTAAAAATTAAATTATTTTAATTAAAATTCAAATAAATTTAATTAAAATTTAAATTATATTAAATAAAATTCAAATTAATTTAATTAAATTTCAAATTAATTTTATTAAAATTCAATTGAATTTAATTAAAATCCAATTGAATTTAATTAAAATTTAATTTAATTAAAATTCAAAGTAATTTAATTAAAATTCAAAGTAATTTAATTAAAATTTAAATTAATTTAATTAAAATTCAAATTAATTTAATTAAAATTCAATTGAATTTAATTAAAATTCAATTTAATTTAATTAAAATTCAATTGAATTTAATTAAAATTCAATTTAATTTAATTAAAATTCAATTTAATTTAATTAAAATTCAATTTAATTTAATTAAAATTCAAATTAATTTATTTAAAAATAACTAAAATTACAATTAAATATAATTAAAATTTTAATTAATATAATCAAGGCCAATTCATTTTCGATAGAATGATATACCTTCGATAGAATATAATGATACCGACCTAGTGCAATTACGCCGTGATATCTGTTACCACTCTCGAACGGCGCAAATGATTTATTAGTAGGCACGTTTGAAATTCACAATCGAATTGCAGAATTTAATTGGCATCGATCTCAAAACTCAGCCGGCTGTGTTGTACAATAAATTAGCGAACAATCTCGATGTATATTAGTTAAAATGGCTTTTGTACATTTACTGAACGTTTTGAAACTGATAGAATTGTAATATGTAACGTGTGATCTAGGAGAATGGATTTATATTGTTAAAAGGTGCACTACCTTTCACAAACAAGAGTAAAAACTGAATGAATGAATGAATGAATGAAATGTCTTTATTATTCCCTTCAAAGTATGAATGAATGATGACTTTATGTACTTAAATACAGGTTATTACATTAGAAATATTAAATATTATAAATGATACAGATTAACAATATGTACATAAACTAAATTAATTTTTACCTAATTACATAAAAACAAAATATATTTATGTTATAATTATTTTATAGAAATTAATTCAACGGTTTTAAAATAAAAAAAAATCAGACTAATATTTTTATATATATTATATGTACGTATTGGTTATAAATAAAATTAATTTACTTATATTAATCCATTTTCAATTATTTTATTACGAATACACATAAGTTTATATTTGGATATAAATCAAAGTAATCATTTAATATAAACATTATTTTCCGTTTATTTTGTTCTTTCAAATATATTCGAAGTAGAGTTTTGTGTCGTTTTTATTTTCCAATATAATATTAAAATGTAATTTCTTTTATATTATATATATTTACTACTCACTATAAATAGTAAATATACATTCTGGTAACCCTATTTACGGGGGGGAAAGGGATTGTTAGTAATGGAAACTGAGAATCCCATTGCTAGCAATATACCCAACCAGGTCGACCTCCTCGCGGTTCCCCCTGGAAACTATCATGGTTAATTCCTGATGAAATCATCGTGATGTGCTAACTGGCCTGTTTTCATTCTCATCTATTACCCTTCACTGGTGCTCCGCCAGCATATCCCATTAGCGCAAGCGGGGCTACCATACCATTTTCACCCATCAAAAAAAAACCCTATTCACGAACAAATAAATAAAAAAGTTAATACGAGTATGTATGTGTTGTTTAGTTTATTAGTATGTGTATGTTTAGTAAAACTTTTTTTTTTTTATTCAACTTAGAATGGCAAACAAGCTGACGGCCCACCTGATGGAAATGGTAACCGTCGCCTATAGACATGAACAGTACCATGGACATAACAGAGTATACTGTTTCGCCCATGATACCCCCCATGTGTTGCCATTCCTAAGGACTCAGATGTTATTCCTCTGTACCCAGTAAATTCACGCCATATCCCACCCTTTAAATCGAAACACAGCCATGCAAACACAACTGCTTCACGGTTGAAATACGAATGGGACAGAGGTACCCAAGCAATCGACTTTTGTACAAAGTCTCCCTCTGGTAAAACATTTCTATGAAGACGCTCTATCTATGTAATCTAAGTATAGAACGTATCAATATCTATTTTAAATGTATCCATGTTACCAACTTCAGCAGTGGATATAACATCATCAAAGTTACTGTCTCCGTGAACTCACCGTGTTTGTTGTGAGATTTCCAGTGAATTAGCAAACTATTTGCTATCACTAAGCGCTTGTCAAAGGCGTTAGAACTTAGTTCAAATCCCCTCTGATTACGTTCCACTATTAAGCATCGCTTTGAATTACACTACTATGATTTGAGAGAGTAATCAAAGTCGTTAGTGCTCTGTTGATATACGTTTTATCAATAAATCTGAATATTTTTCTAAAAACACTTTGGTGATAAAACGACAATGTTTTTTAACTTTCTATACTATAATACGACGCGTCCAACCAGTGTCGAGTTAGTTTCATCTATTACTATTTGGTTAAAATTGGAATTCAAAAATTGATTTTAAATTAACTTTTCTCTTTGCCAGGTGTTTTTGTTTTCTTCGGATCCGCTATAATTCTCCAGTGCGTCTGGTCTCCAGACAATGCAACCCTGGACTTTGACAAGCTAGCCCGGATCATGTACCTCTTCTACTCGCAAGCGTGCGGCTATAGTTTAAAAGTGGCTCGGTCTCTCTCCAATATTGAATTACCAAATGAAACATTTGGTTTCCAAGTATTGCCAATAAAATGGAAACCTGCACTAGTAACTGTTTCAACAAGATTATCAGCTAAAACAAGAAAGTCAGTATTATATGGCAAATTTCACTTGTATTTGAACAAACTATTTATTGTGGAACAAAAGATGGGATTGATGTTAATGACCAACTATAGATACCAGTCTATATTTGGAAAACTTATTTACTTATTTACACTTTATTGCATCAGTTGTAAAAGAAAATACAGTAAATTTTAATGTTAAACGATACAAAAGGCTACCTTATCATTAAATAACCTTTGAGTAAAGAACATTGAGAGACAATAAAAAGGGTAGGTGACAAAAATGCAAAAGATAAGAGACTGTCTTGCCACGTCACCTCTAGTTGTATTCACTAGAAACTTTTTTATATTAAAACAATATAATACTTTTCTAAACAAACAAAAATAGCTCCTTCGATCGTAATAATAAGAAAGAAACTTGTCAATTGAATTTTTATTATCAACGTCAGTTAAATGGTACTACATTGCATACACACGAAAATACAGCTTTTAAGACTTCTTCCATTTTGAAGTCGCATCTTCTTTTGAAGATTTCTCCTCTTTTTTTAATGAAAGTACTACATACAAATGTTATTATTAAATAATAATATATAAACGTCTATATCCGTAGGTACATAGAGTTGAGTTTGGCAATTCATGTTGTCTGGATGATCGCGGCCATAATCCTCAGTATTGTGACCAGAAAGAGCAAAAACATCAAAGTACTGAAAGTGGTACTTGCTGTCTTCTTCTATATTACTGTTTCAGTCATACTATTTGATTTGTCAATAGCTATCGTCTACGTCGTGCACATCCAGCAAAGTCTTACCAAAGGCATGGTGCTGAGATACAGCGGCTGGAGTGTAGAGTTACAATTGAAGAGTTATGACGAATTTGCTGGGTGGTTGCCTGTGGCAGCTTCTGTTTGCTGGATGAGAGGTGTTCTCCTCTTAGTTCTGAATATGTATAGCTGTAAAATAATTTACTACATAATAAAAAGGATAAAAAAGAGAGAAATAAAGAAGAGACTGATGCAAGAGAAAAATTTGCTTATTCCCGAACCTGAATACCAATAGTTTAACGACAAAAATGTATTATACTTCAGAACAAGGGAGCACAAACCCTTCGTTCAAAGAAACGTTATAAATAAAATCTTCTATTAAAATACTAATGCCTATAAGCTATTTCTCTAAGTTTGTTTGAATTAAAAGCGAACAATTTGTCAAGAACGTTAAACCTTGATAATGTGAAATGAAACGAGACGATTCTATTTTCAAGGAAATTCAATTTGAAACCTTCAACCGGGACGCTATTAAATTTTTCATTATCACCACGCCTTGGAGACGGGAGCCATTAATTTTGGACTTTACCTGTAATCAAAACAGGGACCGGCGGGCCGCACTGACAGCAAATTGGTTCACGGCCCACTTGAATTGTTTGCCCTATCTCGATTGTTTCCGAGAGCATTTTAAACCGAGTTTTACAAATCGAAAGCAAAAATGTGATCGTAAACAGTTCTCTAAAACATTTCGTAATGGGGTCCCTCGGTTTTTGGACGATAGCAGTGATTTTATACCAGAGTAAGTTGTTTTATCTCGCTGATCTGATATCGTTTCAATTTGCTACAAATTTTGCTTATCGTAAACGAAAATCTGAATTGTTAATTGGTTTAATGGAATTAAAAATGTTTTTTTATGCTAGTCATTTTTAGAATATTGCAGCGTGATACAAAATTAAAGAGTACTTGTTAGGATTTGCTGTCTGTTTGTTCCGTACCTTTTTTTTAATAAAGTAGTCAGATGCCCAAATTAATCAAATAGTACTATAAATTTTTTGTTAATCAGATAGTCATGTTTAAGACCACCTATCTCATTTCAAGCAAGCTGTTTGTCGTGGTTTTACTCGCATATATCAAAATAAGAAGCATTCTCTATGTTAAGTTAAAATATAACTTACCCTTACTATATTACTGTCATTCAAATTGCTTCAGTCACTAATGTGTAAATGAATAACAAACAACTTTACAAAAACTATCGCATTTATTAGCATTAGTTGAGAAAAAAATACTTTTAAAAATTATTCGTTACTTGAATTAATTATTATGCCATTTTGTTATTGCAATTTGGTGTTACAAATTAACTTAAAATATTCCTGTCGCCAAGTTTGAAGAGCATTATTAAATCTTAATAATAAAAAATAAAACACCGACGTGTGGGCCACCAGTTTCTTTCCCGCGGGTGTCGTAAGTGGCGACTAAGAGGGCTTAATGGCCGAAGGATAGGCAGCAGTGTCCCTCTTGAAACCCTCATCAGAAGCCTAAGTACGGATGCCAATACGCCTACCAAGCGTGGAAACTATTGACATACCCGTCTAAGGGGGGAAGCATACATTATACAATGGACAATGAACGGCTGATATTAGGTGATGAATATACATCGTCGTGTATTCACTCCCCCCCCCCCCCCCTTCTTGATGCAGTACAAACGAATCTATAATACAGAATATGATGACGGGGTGTACTGTCATATTTTTTCTCATGTAAGCGCTGACCGGAATGATTCTCGATAGATTCATTTGTACCTCGTCCATACTGGTCCATGGACTGCTCCATATAGGACTGCATATGCATGAGTTAATATAGCGGACAGTTATTTGCCTTGTCTTTCCAAATTGTATAAAAATGAGGGTACTTGTATATTTGTAATCTGAAAATATGCAATTTTTCCAGCAATATTTTGCATAATTATCAGTTGGTTGACCCTCGACTGCCAATTTACTCCTAAGGCATCGGAGCTGCACGAAGTCACCCTGGTGAAGATGCTGTACCTTTACGACCCTGAGGCGTGCGGTCGAGTCTACTTTTACAACTACACGAACGGTCCATCTTCTACCATTGTGTGGCCGATTAAAAATGAGATTGCTGCTGCTTTTCGAGTGTTAGTTCTCAACTATTTTCTATATCATATACTAGCGATTCGGCCTGGCTCTGCACGCACAAGTAGACAGAATTTTCAAAAATAATTTATGACCTATTACTTACCTATAATATAGCTTTTTATAGGTGAAATAATTTTTAATATCGCTTGTGAAGTTTTTGAGTTAATCCATTACAAACCGTCAAATCTTTCCTCTTTATAATATTAGTATAAATTAAACTTTGTTCGCATTAAATAAAAAGTTAGCTTTGTGTTGATTCAAGATAATATTGTTCCTCTGTCTATATCGAATCGAATATTGAATTTCCTTCCGTTCAGCGATTTAGCGTAACTAAATATTAACATCTAAAACATGACGATGATGATGATGGTGATGATCTAAAATATCCAATTATAATAATTATTTAATCATACTACATAAGGCCCATTTGTGCTTCTTCACAAGGGGGGTAATGAGGTTTCTTCAGGGTCGGCAACGCTCGCGTAATGCCCCTGATATTGCAGACGTTCATAGGCTACGTTAACCGCTTACCATCAGGTGAGCCGTATGCTTATTTACCACCTCAGTGGTAAAAAAAAAACTCTGTTGACGAGGAATATCACAATTTATTTCTAACAATTTATTTCAGTAAAATACGAGTGTGGTTATCCTTGCATAGCCTTTGGTTACTTCTTGGATGTTTGTACTTCACCCAAAGGCAGCGGCCATGTGGATTCTATGCCGTTTTATTACCATTCACCCTGATCGGAGTCGCTTTGCTTATCACAGATTTAGTGTACATGACATTGTTCCTTATGGACACACAAGGCTCTATGACTGAAGGTAAGTTTAATTAAATTTACTTTTTAATTCCAAAAAATGGTATTTTTTTATAGGTGATAATGAAATAGTAACCCTACCCGCGCTATCGGTATACACCAGCGGGGCACCAGTTAAGGATGATAGACGAGGATGAAACAGGTCAGTTAGCCCATCGTGACGAATTCAACGAGAATTGTTCACGATGGTTTCCAGGGGGAACCACGCGGAGGTTGACCTGATAGGGCATATTGTTAGCAATGGGGCTGTCAAACTCCATTGCTAACAATCCCACCCCCCCTCCAAAAATGGTCGTGTGGTTCCAGCATAGAATACACCACCCCTTCCTTTCCCGTGGGTTTTTTAAAAGTCGACCATGGACTGCGAGGGATGGGCAGCAGCGCCCCCCCTAAAACATCTCTAAAGCCTGACTGTAGTTGTCAATCTGCCTACCAAGCGTGGCAACTACTGGTAAAATCCCCCAAGGGGGAGGCTTATGTTCATTCCCCACCCTAACTAAGAGAGGAGGCCTGCCCTACACCATTTACAGGGCGGGCCGTCGCGTTGGATACTCGGTAGTCGTACAAACGGGAACCCGGGATCCAACATAAGCGCCTCGAGGTACGTCGTGTGGTTTTTAGTGGGTACGAATCCCACACACCCCAGCTGCCCTCCCTTCGGCAGATGGGACGGTCTTTCCGAAGATTTTCCACACGGAAAAAAAAAATGGCTTATGTTCAGCTGTGGACAGTTAAAGGCTGATAAAATGATAATGATAATATTTAAAGTATATTTGCGCGGAGTTCCGACATAGAATAAACCACTACTTCCTTTTCCGTGGGTGTCGTAAGAGGCAACTAAGCGAACTTAATGATCTTATAAAAATTAACTCTAATTATCATAATATATATATTTTTTTAATATTTTTTTTAATGGAATTCACTTATAATCGTATTTTCTGATATTGCTCACAACTCAGGTTACATGTATATTTCTATAACTAATAACGCAACTTTTAAAATATTTGTAGTCTAGTGTTATTTAATTCATTATAATTGTTACTTTATTCTCTCGCACTATATAACTATGTTAAAGTAAATGCTGTGAATACCTATAGGCATGTGCATTAATATTGTATTATATTTAATGTTTGTTATATATGTTATAATGCAATATGCTGTTGGTGTTCCTTAAATAAATAAATAAAAAACAAAATCTTGAGATAGGCAGCAGTGTCCCTCTTAAAATATCAAAAAACGCTAACAGCGGTTGCCAAACAGCCAACCAAGGAGGAAGCTTATGTTCAGCAGTGAACACAAGCTCGTTTGCCCCCTGTGTTTAAAAAAAAAAGTGCATTTAAAAGCTGATATAACAATGATATTAATATAGGGATTCATTATAAATATCATCTCGTAATCCCCCTTGAAACCAATCGTGCTGAATTACAGGTCTATTCATCACGATGAGCTAACCGACCCGCGTTTTCATTCTCACCTATCATCCCCCACTGGTGCCCCGCCAGTGTATACCGTTGGCGCGGACGGAGTTACTTTTCCCATTATCATCCATTAAAAAAAAACAGTACAGTAAATATATGTATTCCTGATGAGCGAAGTCGCCGCTAACAGTTAGTTTTAAATAAATTAAAGGAGACTCTAAAATTAGTTGTATTATATTTTATTTTCATGCAACTTAGAATAGCTAACAAGCTAACGGCCCACCTGATAGAAAGTGGTAACCGTCGCTTATAGACATGAGTAGTACCATGAACATAACAGAGTATACGTTATATACGTTCCGCCCATGATACCCCCCATGCTATTTCTGAGGACTCAGGTGTTATTCCTCTGTACCCAATAAATTCACTGCCATATCCCACCCTTCAAACCGAAACACAGGCATGCAAACGCAACTACTTTACAGTTGAAACACAAATGGGACAGAGGTGCCCAAGCAAACAACCTTTGTAGTCTCCTTCTGGTGAATAGTAAATCTACATAAATCCCTATAATAAGGTTTCTATTTATTTTTTATTTAAACCCTCTATTATTATTCACAGAAAACAAATCTGAATCACAGGACAATCTTGAAATACAGTCTGAAAAAAAAAACTTTGCTGAAATTATTCTTAGAAATTTATTATTATAAGCTTCTTGTTAAATTTGATAAATTGTAGTTACTCAGTATCCGGCTGAGTTATATTATATTATATTACAAGACCCTTATATAAATTATTAAGATGTGGACTTAGAAAATTTTTTAATAAGACATAATCCAATGAATTACTGTAATATTAAAAAGTTTAAATCTTTTAATACCTACACCGTAATTACTAGTAACTAGGTCCGTCGCCTGGACTAATTAATTTTGACAAATAATATCGCAAAGTTGGCCTAGATGTGACAAGGATAAACATGGTCGTATTTCTCTGATAGGTAGCTAAATAATTAAAAGGCGAAAGAATATTGAAAATTATATCGTTGATAATTATTAGTATCATGGGCGAAACAGTATACTCTGTTGTGTCCATGGTACTGCTCATGTCTATAGGCGACGGTTACCACTTTCTATCAGGTGGGCCGTCAGCTTGTTTGCCATTCTAAGTTGTATAAAAAAAAATTATAACTAGACTAGTTTACACGAGTTCATGTAACTCAAATAAAAGACAGATAAATAGAAGTAAGTCTGTAAAAAGATTTTTATTTGGAAAATATTCAAGAAAAAATCCTCCAACATAATATAATGTACCAACAGGATTTTCATAAGAAATCATATTTCAGCTGGCTTACTTTGGCTTACATCTCCGCACCTCACGAAGTAATTCAGACTTCAATTTCATACATACAGCACGTGTGTATACGGATAACTGGTTTAATTTCTTTCCTATATTATACATTTTTTTTTTTCTTATTTGGTAAAGAATCTATATATGTTTTTATGAAATTAGTAATCCTTTTAATACAGTAAATGCGAAAGTTTGTAACGACAAATGAATGAATGTTTGTTACTCTTTCACGCAAGCGAATTTTAATAAAATTTGGTACACTGGTTGGCTATATCTTAAGTTAGTACATAGAATACTTTAAATACTGATTCACGCTAATGAAGCTGCGCGATACATAATAATAATAATAATAATAAAGTTTATTCTCTTCACAATACCAGTTGTACATCTATTATATTCTAATACATTTATTTTTGGAGGTTACATAATTTAATGTATTGTGAAGAACTAGTGTCTGAAGTAGGATAAACCTGTGTTACAGATCACCAGGTCCTCACCCCACGGTGTTGGCACTATATTACAATTTGTTCTGGTTATGAATATAATAACAACATTAATACATATACACATACATACACACATACACACATACACACACACATACATATACATATATATATATATATATATATACATACATACACATATACATACACATATATACACACACACACACATACATACACATATATACACCTATATAGTTAAGGTTATACAACCGATATATCCTACACACACTTACACAATATACATTATTTTAATAATATTTTCATAAGTTGTAATTTAATACGCAACCTTCAGTAATTTCTCCGTGTCATCGTACGTCAGACTCAATAACCATGTTTTAAGTGCAGTTTTACAATTGAAGTGTGAATATGAATATATGTTCAAAATACGGTTTATATTATTATAAAGATGGCTGCCGAGGAAACAGAAAAATCTTTGTGAAAGTATTGTTCTAAAGCGATGTTTTTTGTATATAATGTCTTTACGTCTTTTTGAGGTATCAAGATCGGTGGGTAATATTTGATGTTGTTTTAAAGTTATGTATAAAATAAATAGTTTTCTAACTGAAAGAATTTCACAATCTCGGTACAATTCATGTGTCGGGTAGTAGATGGAGTGAAATGTGCATACCTTGAGAAGCGCACGCTGTGCTCTTTCCAGGGTGATAAGGTGTGATTTACATGCTCCGCCCCATGATGTAATGCAGTAAGTGAGAATTGACTGACACAGAGCGAAATAAACCGTTTTTAGTAATTTAAAATTCGATACATGTCTTAATTGTTTAAATACGTAAATCAACTTTCGGGTTCTACTAGTAAGCAAATTAATATGTTCGCGGAATTTGAGATTGCAGTCAAGTAATATGCCTAAATATTTAATTGTGTTTACTCTTTTTAACTCGGGACAAGAACAGGGTTTTTGATCTGAAATTCTACAGCAGTGGGCAAACAGACGAAAAGCATTAGAGGGTGGAGTGTTGCGTATATCCTATGCGTTGCGTATACCGCACCTCACGAAGTAATTCAGACTTCAATTTCATACATACAGCACGTGTGTATACGGATAACTGGTTTAATTTCTTTCCTATATTATACATTTTTTTTTTTCTTATTTGGTAAAGAATCTATATATGTTTTTATGAAATTAGTAATCCTTTTAATACAGTAAATGCGAAAGTTTGTAACGACAAATGAATGAATGTTTGTTACTCTTTCACGCAAGCGAATTTTAATAAAATTTGGTACACTGGTTGGCTATATCTTAAGTTAGTACATAGAATACTTTAAATACTGATTCACGCTAATGAAGCTGCGCGATACATGTTTATAAATATAATTATTATTATGATTAAAATATGAATATTTAATAATAAAGTAATCGTTTAAATTAATATCCAAGCACTTTCTTCATTCTATTAATTTAATTGTTATAAATATATATTGCTCTCTAAAAAAACTTTGTGAACACGCACTAACACATACACACACACGCACACGCACGTGCACGCGCCCCCACTCACACACACACACACATTCACACATATACGCACGCATACAATCAAAATCAGAACTTAAACAAAATCAGAGCTCTAATATGGCTAGGCAATAATATATAATGCAAAGTAAACGCCATACTAATCACACCGATTACGTAGTCTTCGAATTAGGATACCCAATGTGACGAGAGACTGACGAACGAACGTCTGGAGGCACAATCCAGAACAGCCAGACTCGAGCGATTTCAGAACAGTTCGTTTCGCTAATTGACTCGTTCGAGAATCAAACCCGAAATCTCTTTACACAAAGCAATGCATTCACTGCTACGCCACGAAAGCTCTCAACAATGAAACGATTTAAATAACTCTTTTATTATAAATAAAAAAAAAAATATTACGCTCAGAATCAAACAAATATTCACGTGACTGGTAAAAAATGACATAATATAACTTTCCGCTTTTATTTTCCAAGAAATATACACTTCGCCATAACAAAAGCAACTCTGGGGAAAAGCCGCTCACCCTTGCCACCTGACCTCAATCCATATTATCCCCTAGATACAATACATCCGCCTTTTGAACTGTATACTTTCGATTTGTACTTTACCATTTGATCTCGCTATTTGTTACAATTCATTATTTTTAAGAGACTTTCAAATAGGAGAAGGTTATATCAGTTTCTTTGTATGTTTTGAAATATATTGTTGTTAATGAAAGAGTGAATGGAAAAATGAATGCAATAGAGAATTATTATTTATCTTTTCTCCTTTTTCTTACTTATCTTCATCATTTAACCAGAGGGAGACTTTGTATAAAAGACGTTTACTTGGGCACCTCTAACCCATTTGTGTTTCTACCATGAAGCAGTTGTGTTTGCGTGGCTGTGTTTCGGTTTGAAGGTTTGGATATAGCAGTGAATTTACAGGGTACAGAGGAATAACACCTGAGTCCTCAGAAATGGCAACGTATGGGAGGTATCATGCGCTAAACAGTATACTCTGTTATGTCCATGGTACTGCTCATGTCTATAGGCTACGATTATCACTTTCCATGAGGTGCGCCATCAGCTTGTTTGCCATTCTAAGTTGCATAAAAAAAATCCTAATTGTCTTATATCCACAGCTGACATACTACAGTACGTAGACTCCAACAAACAGCATCTTCAGACCTTGAAAAAGAAGCAGTCACAGGTCATCATGAGCAACATAGACAGTGTTTCACCAGATACGTCTTGGGTCTCATTGTTATTGGCATACGCTAGCTGTCGAGGTATAATCCAATGGTTTATCAACTTTTGGCTTGTAAAGGATAACTATTTCGAAGGCCTATCACAGTATCGTGAGTATTATTTTATATTACTACATTACTTACTGTGTTCCATGAATTTGCTCACCAGAATGCGGATAAAAAGTGACCTAGATTAATTTAATCTATCTATTTAACAGTTTGAGCTTGATAGAGTAATAAAAACTTACAAATTTTTATAATTCCCTATAATATAATATATTAATATAATTATATATAAAATAGAATGTATCCACACATTTTTCAACCCCAGGATATCGTAAAAGTCCCCGTGGTTCGTCCCATAAATGATATACGACGAAAAAGCGACTAGGGGACAAAGTACAATATCTTTTCCCCTACTAGGGGAACAAAGTGCCCAGTAATAAACAAATGAAAGAAAAGTCAAAATTAACCACTATACCAAGCCGCCTAGCCCAATATAGTAATAGATGGGGGAATGGGATTATTACAAATGAAGTCTAAGAGCCTTATTGCTAGGGAAATTGGCGCAGAAGAGGGTACCTTTCCATTTTTATTCCTTAGAAAAAAATATAGTAATAAAAAGTATATCATATAAAAGTCAAATATCCACTAAGAAGTGATAACAATAATATGTTGGGGAGAAGGGATTGTTAGTAATAGGGTCTAATTTCCCCATTACTAGCAATACACCGTATAAGGTCGATCTACACGCAGTTCTCCCTAGAAAATAGCGTATTAAATCTAGTTTAATTCATTACGATAGGCTAACGGACCTGCTTTCATAGTCCTCTATCATTCTTCACTGGGGCCCCGCTAGCGTATACCGGCAGTACAGGCGGGTTTACCATTCATTATTATCTATTTAAAAGGGGGAAGAAATTGTTAGTAATGGGGAGATTAGTCCCCATTACTATCAATATACCCTATCAGGTCGACCTCCACGCGATTCTCGCTGAAGACTATCGTATTTCATTCTACTTGAATTTGTCACGATGGACTTCATCCACACCTATCATCCCTCACTGGGCTCCCGTCAGTGTATAGCGATAGTACAGGCGGGGTTACCATTCACTATCATCCATTACAAAGGGGGGAAGGGATTGTTAGTAATCGGGAAGTTAGTCCCCATTGCTATCAGATCGACCTCCACGCGATTTCCCCTGGAAACCATCGTGACTAATTTATCGTTGATTTCGTCAAGGTGAACTAACTGACCTGCCTTTTCATCCTTACCAATCATCCCTCACTGGTGCCCTGCTACTGTATACTGATAGCGCAGGCGGGGTTACCATTTATTGGGTACAGAGAAATAACACCTGAGTCCTCAGGAATGACAACGCATGAGAGGTATCATGGGCGAAACAGTATACTCTGTTATGTCCATGGTACTGTTCATGTCTATAGGCGACGGTTACCGCTTTCCATCAGGTGGGCCGTCAGCTTGTTTGCCATTCTAAGTTGTATAAAAAAAAACCATTCCATTATCATCCATTAAAATAAAACAATAATATGTTATCACTTCTTTCAGGTAAACTACAGTCGCAAGAAAATAGAAAAATCTACAGCCAATGAAATATATGTACATAATCTCATGCTTATATTTAAATATTAATGTTACAGCACGTTACATTAGGATAATGCCCGAATTATATTAGGTACTGACCTAATCAGCAATCCAGCGCTCGAATCTAGCGCTGCATTGCCACTGAGATAATCTGACGTCATATTTTGTGAGTGACTGCTCACCTTTAGACAGTTTTGTTTATGATTTTTTTTATACCACTGAGGTGGCAAACAAGCATACGACCCACCCGATGGTAAGCGTAAACCCCATGCTGTAGTCTCTTGGGTAAACCTCGGCAGGGAGCTCATTCCACAACCCGAGTGTTCGTGGGAGGAAACATCTATGAAACCGCGCAGTACGCGACCATTGAGGCTGTAGGACAGATAGCTGAGTGCGAGATCGCCACGCAATAAATAGCTAGTTATTTGTCCAAAGAACAAAATGGATCTTCTTTAATAGCTTCATTTAATGTTGTGAAATATTCATGACAATGATGCCGTTTATAATTGTGCCCGTTTTAATTGCTGCCTCTCATAGCTATACGCTCCCTGATATTTGCTAGCTCGCTTCCATTATCCGAGATCTAGACGTTATGAGTTTTATGTATGTAGGTTGTACCTTAATAACTTATGGTTATATATTATTTATATGAATAAATGAATATTTATTTGCAAGAAATATGGTCAGTATAGAGAAGTGAAAAAAGGTATAAGTATGTATATATATTTTAACTTCGGTTGCCAACCCGCCTGCCAAGTGTGGCAACTGCTGGCAAAACCCTCTTTATTTTATATTAAGCTTTGTTCAGCAGTGGACAGTTAACGGTTAATGCAATAAATATATATATATATATATATATATATATATATATATATATATATATATATATATATATATATATATATATATATATATATATATATATATATATATATATATATATATATATTTTAACTTCTGTTTAGCACTACTACTACCCACTCACTACTTCCTACGTCACTGTGTTAGGTTGACTGGAGGAAATCTCTTTCAGAGATAAGTTCACCTTTGCTAACATTGTTATTGACTTCTTGTTATTACTGTATGTTTTAGTGCAATATTAAATATCGAACGATAATTTATTTTTGTGATAGTTAAAATAATTAGCGTCCCAGTTTCGCACGAGTAGATAAGTATCTATCTACTCGTATCTATCTAAATTAATTATTATATAAAAACAATACAACAATAAATTAAAGTTAATATAAAATTCCTTAAATACTAATACTAATTATAAGTAATCCCCCAACGCACCACACCGAGGTAACGTACCCAAGATACTGGCAGCATTACCTCTTTGGATTGCCAAACTTATCTTTTGGGCAAAGTAGCTACCAGCTCTTAGGTCACCAGTAACCTCGATGAGGCGCGCTGCGATCGTCCGATAAATTAATAAGTATTTTATATTAGCTTTACAAGGCACATTTTTGATACCTTGGATTACATTATTGCAGTAAGAATCTGTAAGTCTTTGAAAATAATATATAATCTTTGTTACACGCTGATAATATAGCTTTGTATAGGTGAAAGAAGTTTTAAAATCGGTTGAGTAGTTTTTGAGTTTATCGAACCAAAAATAAACATATTCCCTTATGATATTTTTATTCAAGTAAAATGTAATAACCATTTTTGAATAGACATAACATAATTTTATATAATTTATTTAATATAAAATAAGTATGTTTATATTAGTCTCATAATATGTTTATATTATATGAATAGATCAAGTATTACTTTATTTTTCCTCTATTCAATAATGCACCGCCTACTTATTTCTCTGTTCGCCCAATGGTTGACTGGTAGTGTAGTGACTGGTAACACCGTCCGGTGTTAAGTCCGCCAAATGTGCATAAAATTTTACTGTTTAAAGTTTAAATAAATAAAAAAAATCAAATTAATTATAAAATAACGTCCTTTATTATAAAAAAAAAAAACTAGAACATTCTACAAACCTACTTTAACTATCAGGATGTGTTGTGACTGTCTTTCAAATTGAGAAATTAGTGCAAAAAAAAAAAATAGGACAAAACACTTCAATAACTGAAATAGGTTTATAAGTGTTACATATTTTCTTGCGTCCCCAATAGTGTTTCATTCAAAAAGTGTCAGACAAGAGATGTCATAAACCAAACGTCAAAAATGACAATACTTGAGATCGTTTACGAAGCGCATGAACGTTCGTAAACGATCCTTTACTAAACTACTTATAATTTAGTACAATGAGAATTTGTAACATTTATAAGGCTTAATGTATAAGAATTTTCTATTTCATCGAGAGTAATAAAGAGGCAAAGACACGTAACAAGTAATGCTTAATAAGTAGCACTACGATGACCGTGAGTAATGCTGTAGTACTTAATATAATCCGGCTCGATTAGTTCTTAACGCGTACTATTAGAGGAAAAATATACCATGGACAAAGGAAGTTTATTATAATCAGTAGTAAATATATATATTTTTTATGCAAATTAGAATAGCAAACAAGCTAACAGCAAACCTGATGGAAAGTGGTAACCGTTGCCTATAGACATGACCAGTACCATGGACATAACAGAGTTTCGCCCATGATACTCACCGTGAGTTGCCATTCCTGAGGACTCAGGTGTACTTCCTCTGTATCCTGTAAATTTACAGTCATCCTTTACACTCACCCTTCAAACCGAAACACAGTCATTCAAACATAACTGCTTCACGGTAGTAACACGAATGGGACAGAGGTGCCCAAGCAAACGACTTTTATATCATTAATTACTAGTACCGTATTCGAGTATTCTGACACTTCCCTATGGTTGAGTGGGAGAGAATGCTTTTAGTATTAAGTCCGCCATGCACACATATATGTACTAATGAATAAATAAATATAATCCAGATGATTTACAGTTTTTATTTTATCATTCCTTCTATGTAATTCCTTGTTCTTAGGTATATAATGAAATTTCGAAATGAGAAGACCACTGTATCCATTCACGTGATTTTACTAATTCATTAATCTACTGTTTCCTTGGACGCCCACCTCCAAATTTCCAATCAATACATATTGTTGTAACACAAAGAATTATCATTTATCAACAGCAGCAAATATATTTTGATGAATTTTTGTTTCATCATCTCAGCCATTATCCGTCCACTGCTGGACATAGGCCTCCCCCATAGACTGCTATAAGGAACGGTCCTGAGCCACCTGCATCCATTGACTCCCTGCGACGCATTTAAGGTCATGACTCCATCTAGTGGGGGGTCGTCCTACACTGCATTTGCCCGTACGGGGTCGCTACTCAAGCACCTTACTTCCACATCGATTATCGATTCTTCGAGCTCTATGACCCATTGCCACTTCAGTTTGCATATCCTTCGGGCTATGTCGGTCACTTTGGTTCTTTTGCGGATTCTTGTTTCGGATTCTATCACGCAAAGAGACTTCGAGGATAGCCCTTTCCGTTTGTTTAAATTTGACTATCAACGTTTATTTGAATCGTACTTTTTTTTTTTAATTCGAATCGTATACTAAAATTACAAAACCTAGTTATTATTATAATACAGGTACATAATAAATTATACAAAAATGTTGGGTTATTAAATTAAATTTAATAATTATACATTTATATAATATAATTATAATCACAGAAAAATTAAAAATTAACGCCCAAATAATAATAGTGGAGCCGGTTCTCGTAGTTGGAGCCTCGCGGTGTACTTCATATTCTGAATATCATTCTCCGTCATGAACTCGACTTTCTGCAACTGTCCACTTGGCAGGAGAACGTAGTATGAACCCACGCTCTTCTGGACTTCCACGGGGCTGTCCAACCTCTCAGCTTCGGGATTATCCGTGGTGGGTGCATCTGTACTGGGCGCTCCATATGTATTATCCGGAACTCCATAACTGGTGGCGGGAGGTTGCTGCTCATTTGGCAACGTGAAGGGCTGACCTTCTGGCTTCCATCCGGATGGAGGGTAAGGTCCGCTCTGAGGAGGTCCATAGGTAGGCTCCAACTCTGTTTGTTTGGGCAGAGTGAACGGTTCTCCCGCTGGTTTCCAGCCTGACGGCGGATAAGGGCCTCCAGCTTCCGTCGTGGGCTCGGTGGGCGACTCCGTGGTGGTCGGGGCCAACTCCTGTCGCTGGAACCTGAACCTCGCCGGTCTGAAGCGAGGTGGCTCAGCCAAAACCGCGACGAAAGCACAAGATAGCACCAAGAACTTCATGTTTGATTGCTGATGAACGAATGATGCTGTGCCAATATCGCAACCTCGTTTTATACTTAGGTGAGATAGTTTATGGTGCTTTGTTGTATCATAAATGGAATCTGAGAGAAGGCCGTGATGTGAGGATAATTCGGGAGGCTCTTGGTATCCTCATCACGTAGCCGTCGAGTGGCATTGACCTCTTAACGGTCGATAGAATAGATGTCATATAACGCTCATTGCCGTCAGTGATTAGACGTGTCTCAATTAATTAATTAGAAATGATGAGTCAAAGATGCGTCGAGTACAATTATGTATGTCTTTCATTATCTACACGTTTAGGACCAGTTGTTTATGGTGTAGTCAGAGACTATTGGAAATAAAACATAAGAGATCTGTATCTCTTAATGAATCCTTTATTTATTTCAATACTACTCGTAGCTTTTGCTCGTTTTTACTAACGGTATACGCTGGCGGGACACCAGTGAGGGATGATAGGTGAGAATGAAAAGGCAGGTCAGTTGGCCCATCGTGATGAATACACCTGGAATTCAGCACGGTGGTTTCCAGGGGGGACCACGTGGAGGTCGACATAACAGGGTATATTGCTAGCAATGGGACTGGTAGTCCTCGTTACTAAAAATAACTCCCCCCCCCCCCCCGTTTGCGTGACCGGGATTATATTGATTGCCCAGAATAACAAGCTTCTATGCTTTTCTTACGCAACGTCAATGGATACAGAAACTCGGGACCGCTCTTTATAGTAGGCTATGATGGTAGGCTATGTTCGACAGTGGATACTTAACAGCATGTGATTGATGATGATCATTCCAAATAATACGTGTATGCCCAATTTCACGACGATTGGCGAGCTGTTAAGGTGCCAAAAGGTAATAAACAAACTCTCTGTCACTTTTATAATGTATATACGAACGTCAGATTATTCAGATCTTATTAGAAATCAGTTTTTTTTTTAATGGGTGATAATGGAATGGTAACCCCACCTGCGCTATCGGTATACACCGGCGGGGCACCAGTGAGGGATAATAGATGAGGATAAAAGCAGGTCAGTTAGCCCATCGTGACGAATTCCACTAGAATTAACCACGATGGTTTCCAGGGGGAACCGCGTGGAGGTCGACCTGATAGGGTATATTACTAGCAATGGGTTCATTAGACCCCATTACTAACAATCCCTTCCCCCCATTAGAAATCAGTTAGGCGTCTAAATTGAATATTTAATGGACGAATGATAGAAAAAACCGTACGTTGGGGATTGTAAAGACTAAATTAAATTCCTTGGTAGCTCCCCATATTCCATATATAAGGGAGTAAGGGCTTCCCCTAAATCATCTCGTTTCGTATAAATTCACTATAAAATAGTATAGCGGTTCATAAAAATAAAATATTATTATTATGAACTTATTGTAAAGTTTTATGACGAAGTACTACTATGAACGGTAAAAAAGTTGATAGCTGATCGAAGACGATGCTTTTACTTAAGTGAAACTTTCTTTTAGATATAAATAATACCTAATATTAACCATTGATACACCATAGATTACGCCGTGTGGCCCCGGCATGGTATAGACCAACCTTTTCTTTCCCGTGAGTGTCGTAAGAGGCGTCTAAGGGAGGGCGAGGAACCGTCCGTCTTGAAACATCCCCAAAGCCTAACTGCGGTTTAGCTAGACAACTACTTATTCCTCTCCATCCATACTTCTCTTATACTCCATCAAATTACTCCTCTCTATTCAAAGGTTGCCTGGAAGAGACCGCTTTTAGCGATAAGGTCGCCCATTGTTTTCTCATTGTGGTTATTTCTTGTAATTGTTTATATTTATAATAAGTTTACTATTGTAATCTTTTGGAGGAAACAATAAAGAGTATCTATCTATCTATTTTTTTTTATACAACTTAGAATGGCAAACAAGCTAACAGCCCACCTGATGGAAAGTGGTAATCGTCGCCTATAGACATGAGCAGTACCGTGGACATAACAAAGCATACTGTTTCGCCCATGATACCCCCCATGCGTTGCCATTCCTGAGGACTCAGGTGTTATTCCTCTGTACCCAGTAAATTCACGCCATATCCCACCCTTCAAATCGAAACACAGCCATGCAAACACAACTGCTTCACGGTTGAAACACGAATGAGAGAGAGGTAGCCAAGCAATCGACTTTTGTACAAAGTCTCCCTCTGGTCTATCTACTTAACTACTACTCACCCTTCCCCTTAAATAAGAGGAAGATTTATGTTCCGCAGTGGACAGCTAAAGGCTGATGACGATGATGATGACACCGTAGGGACTTATAGAATATTAATACTGTTCTATGGGCTTCTCATACACTAATTTCTATTTCTTTCTTCCATGCATTAGTCGCATTTTTTTTTTTATTAAAATTCACACCATTACCTAGTCTCCAAGATAAGGTACTCTATGCTATAAAGAACTAGCCAACAAACATCATCAAACCAGAGGGCTTTATGCAAAGTCGTTTGCTTGGGCACCTCTGTCTCTTTCGTGTTTCTACCGTAAAGCAGTTGTGTTAGCATGGCTGCGTTTCAGTTTGAAGGGTGGGTTATGGCAATGAATTTACGGGGTACAGAGGAATAACACCTTAATCCTGGAGGGAAGGGATTGTTGGGATTGGGGTTTAACAGCGCCATTGCTAGCAATATGCCCTATCAGGTCGATCTCCACGTGGTTCCCCCTGGAAACCATCGTGAACAATTCTTGTTGAATTCGTCACGATGGGCTAACTGACCTGCTTCATCCTCACCTATGATCTTTCACTGGTACCCCGCCGGTGTATACCGATAGCACGAGTGGGGTTACCATTCCGTTATCACCCATTAAAAAAAACCTTAACCCTAAATATAATCGTAATCTTTTATAGTTAATTATTGTAAATAACTTGACATGTACATACATTGTAATTACCTGTAGTATTTTGGAGTTTAATCATCTATAAATTGAAGGTAATAATAAATAAACAAATAAATAAATAATAGGCTACTTCTTATCCCGGTTACTAAACATATCCCGCAGACGAAGTCGTGGGTAGAAGCTAGTTAATTATATCGACCTATTTGTTTTGGTATCGCGTCGAGTGTAGTACACTCTAGCTGTGACGTGACTTTGATCGACTGATATTAAAAATGCTATATTTATCGAATAAGAATTATTTGGGTTCCGTTCCTTTTTAAACATTTTTACGAAATACGTTTTTTTTTTTCTAAACTAATACAGTGAACGATCTATAAGAGCAACTTCTCTATAAGCAACATTCTTTGTACAAATTCGTTTGCTTGGGCACCTCTGTCCCATTCGTGTTACTACCATGAAGCAGTCGTGTTTGCATGGCTATGTATCGGTTTGAAGGGCGGATATGGCAGTAAATTTACAGGATACAGAGGAATAACACCTTAGACCTCAGAATTGGCAACGCATGGGGGTATCATAGGCGAAACAGTATACTCTGTTATGTCCATGGTACTGCTCGTGTCTATAAGCGACGGTTACCACTTACTATCAGGTGGGCCGTCAACTTGCTCGCTATTCTAAGTTGTATTAAAAAAAAAAGAAAAAAATACACGAGTACAACAATCTAATTTTTACCATCTGGTAAAAAATTCTTGCAGTAAATGTACTGCAAGAAACGCAAACGTAAACGGTAAGGCAAACGCTTTCTCTTTTTTTCATTCATTTTCATAATTTAATGAAATAAAATTAAACAAAAAATATACAAAATAAAGGAATTTTCATTTTTATTTCATTACATTTATTACTCCGGCCTAACCAAACATAATATCATTAGGTATCTGTTATAAGATAGGCTATATCTTCACCCTTTTCCAATCCAAACCATATGGAAAATTCGACTCATCCTACAAAAATGGCTCCAACGTCGATTGGATAAAATTAAAAAACTTCCGCTCAAAATTGGGCTAATGTCGGAGAAAGTTTATTATTAACATAACATATTGGACACTCACCGAGACTGGAACGTTGTTATCTGCAAAAAGAGAATAATATAGGAATTAATAACAATAATAAATAGGAGGGAAAGGGATTGTTAGCAACGGAATTTGACAGCCCCATTGCTAGCAATATGTCTTATTAGGTCGACCTCCACGTGGTTCCCCCTGGAAACCATCGTGAACAATTCTTATTGAATTCGTCACAATGGGCTAACTGACCTACTTCATCCTCATCTATCATCCTTCACCGGTGCCCCGCCGGTGTATACCGATAGCGCGGGTGGGGTTACCATTCCATTATCATCCATTAAAAAAAAAATATATCTCTGAGTATATAACAGCTCCATCTAGCGTCTAAATAAGTGTTTGATATTTGTAAAAAAAAAAATATTTAAAACAGAGAAGTGCCCCCGCCACTTAACTCAATAACCATCATACAGGAGAGCATGCCTCACTTAAGCAGAGAAGTTTGGACCCAGTGACCCGGGAATAGTTGCCCCGGAGTTGGAGTTGAGGAAAAGGGGTCCGCCCCGAACTCCCCACCTACCTCGTACAAGGAAAAGAATCCTGATTATATTATAATAGTATATACTATATATATATATATATATATATATATATATATATATATATATATATATATATATATATATATATATATATATATATATATATATAATTCGTATTGTTTAAGAATAAAACCTGTAATCATTAAAGGTGAATATATATGAAGCAATATGTTTAACCGACCGACCGACATCAATAATTTAGTAGATTATTTCGTATCAGCCGTTAGCTGTCCGCTGCTGAACAACTACTGCCAAACCCCTTATGGGGGAGGTTTCCCCCATAAGGGGTTTGGCAGTAGTTGCCACACTTGGCAGGCGGGTTGGCAACCGTAGTTAGGTTTTTTTTAATGAATGATAATGGAATGGTAACGCCACCCGCGCTATCGGTATACACCGGCGGGGCACCAGTGAAGGATGATAGGTGAGGATGAAGCAGGTCAATTAGCCCATCGTGACGAATTCAACAAAAATTGTTCACGATGGTTTCTAGGAATCACGTGGAGGTCGACCCTTTAAGACATATTGCTAGCAATGGGGCTGTCAAACTTCATTGCTAACAATCCTTTTCCCCCCAACCATAGTTAGGTTTGAGTGATATTTTAAAAGAGACACTGTTGCCCATCCCTCGACCATAAAGTTCCCTTGGTTGCTTCTTACGACATTCACTGGAAAGGAAAGGGTGGCTCAATCTGTTCTGATAACATGGCAAAATAATGGGCATACATGGATTTTTTAAAATACAATATAAAACCTATGGTACCTTATTAATATAAATTTAAGAATGAATTTTAATTTAATTTGATTTCATTTTAGTTTAAGAATACATACTTCTGGTGTAAAAGTGAAAATATATTTAAACAATAATTGTGAACTCGACTGCTTATATGCAGAACTGACATTGACAAGATATTGACAGGTATCCTGTCAAATATTTGATGATTCTATATACTATGTATGTTTGTATGTTTCTCTTTCTTTTCTCAATGCCCTCTACCCAAAAGTTGTCTGGAAGAGATTGCTTAGCGATGAGGCCACCTTTTGTATCATTTCTTATTACAGTTAAATGTATTTACTATTTTATAAATGGTGCAATAAAGTGTAAATAAATAAATAAATATGTATTGATGTTACTTTTTTTGGGAACCCTATTTTTGAAACCAATAAGAAACTTTACTTCCAACAAAACTATTTTAGAAAAATACGTCACAAAATTAATGAAAATAATTTATAGACTATTAAATAACATTGATTCTGACTACCCCTTTTTAGATTTACAGTCGTGAATGTATTTTTGTATTTTTACATGTATGTATGTAGTGGTCTTCATTTTGCTTGCTTGCAGACCTGAGGCAATGTGCCAAAGCAATATAGTTTGACCTAGACGCCTAAATTGATGTTCACATTACTGTAAGCATATTACATAGTCTGGCATAGGGCTGCCACAAAGGTTAAAGAGGTCAATGACACAGAAGTTTTTTTTTTTATACAAACTCATTTAATAACAAAATAAAAATTAATTTTATATCGACATTTTTGAAGTTATAAAACTTAGTTGTAGACTTTTGAAACTTTCATAATTAAACTTATAAATATATTTTTAATCGAATACTTAATCGTCTTTCCATAATATTGTAAGCAGACTTCAATCTATTTTATTATTATTTTTTATGCAATTTAGAATAACAAATAAGCTGACGGCCCACCTGATGGAAAACGATAATAGCAGTACCATGGACATGACAGAGCATAATGTTTTGTCCATGATACCTCCCATGCATTGCCATTCCTGAGGACTCAGGTGTTATTCCTTTGTACTCTGTAAATTCACTGCCATATCCCACTCTTCAAACCGAAACACAGCCATGCAAACACAACTGCTTTACGGTTGAAACACGAATGGGACAGAGGTACCCAAGCAAACGACTTTAAGATGTTAATAAACAATGAAATTTAAATATCCAAATGGTCATAACATTTACAAAAAATTACTATTCAAAATATTTTAATTTAAGTATACTTGAATGATAATATTTCTTTGTTTCTTTCTTGCTTTCTTCGTATCTTTCTTTCTTTCATATTTTGTAATACGTGTATTCTTCTATTTGTCTAATATTTTCAGATCATTGAAATAGGAATTAATTCATGAAATAAAATTCGTAACAACCCTGACCTCATCAAATTTGGTAAAGTCAAACTCTTATTTTTTTTTTATTTGTGCTTTTTTTTATTTTTATTCTTTTGTCTCTTTTGCTGTGTATTACGTGTATGTTTTTTTTTAATTGTAATTTGTGTGCTGTAAGTAATGTAAATAAATTGTCTATCTATCTATCTATTTTACGTATACATATATAGTTCAAAGAATTAGCATCTAGCTAGAACAACTCAATTTTCTTATATTTTAAGCAGTAAAAATTTATTTTTTATTTAAAAGTATTTAACAAATGGCATCCCTAATTCTCCTATTAATTCTGTCAAACAGCTATGTCTGCATAGCTGTGTTCCAAGTTGAAGGATGAATTATGGCATGAAAGTTGCTGAGTAAGTGTTCCGGCTCCATTCACGTGAGTAGACAAAACAAATCGTGAGTGATGCTTTGGTGATGCAAACATTTTAAGCATGCGATAGTCCCTGAGCATCAGTCGGATCGTATGCATGACGCGTGTTACTAATGTTGATTTATTGTCTTTATGTTCTTATTTCACCAGAGAGAGACTTTGTACAAAAGTTGATTGCTTGGGCACTTCTGTACCAATCGTGTTTCTACCGTGAAGCAGTTGTGTTTGCATGGCTGTATTTCGGTTTGAAGGGTGGGATATGGCGTGAATTTACAGGGTACAGAGGAATAACATGAGTCATCAGGAATGGCATCGCATGGGGGTATCATGGGCGAAACAGTGTGTTAAAAGTATCCTAACAATTTCGATTTTACCATGTAGTTTATTTTGCTTCTAATAAAATTATCCAATTTTAATAATTTTTCTAACATGACTGTTTAATTCGCAGTAGATTGAGTCTACCAAAAAAAAAATACTTCTAACAAAACCGGTTATTACTATCTAAAAACTAAACTACTGTATCAATTTTGATTATATTACTATTGAACGAATCTTTAAGTATATCCGTTTAGATAAAAAATATCAAATCAATTCAGAATTGACGGAATTACAATGTAACAAACATAAAAAAATTACACCCGATTTGAGGACCCCTTCTTTTTGAAGTCGGTTAAAAACAAAAGCTTGGACATGCGATATTAAAACAGTTACCAAATCAACAGACAGAAACAATTCAAACTAATAATGAGGAAACGTTGAAACGTTTATTTGGAACAATTACAGAGGGAGATTTGTATAAACTGACATTGTTTCACTAAATTACTTTGATCACTGTGTCTGTATCAATTAATTTAATTGTATGAAAAGTTCGTCAGTAGCGCCCCCTACCGAGGTTGTTATGTAGTATAGTCAATAACTGTATTATGTATATTTGGCAAAGTAATGTAGTACTCCTTGGAAGCCAAACTTGTTCATTTACTTAATGGAATTTAATTTACTACGGACAAAGAATGTCAATTGTATTCATATTGAAATAGGATTATATTCAGCTTTGTATCTTCACGCCAGATCCCTTACAGGATAGGCAGAGGTTTCGTATGCTAAATGCGTGGCTTAGACGTAACAGTTAATCTCTTTAGATAGATAATTTATTTACATTAGTTACAGCACACAAATTACAATACAAACATACACATAATACACAGTAAAAGAGATAAAAGAATGAAAATAAAAAAGCAACAAAACAAAAAAAATCAAAATATATAAACCAACAATTTCCTTTCTTCCCTTTCCTTCATGCGTGTGCCATAGTAACACAAAATGGTCACAACTCTAGTTTATTGCTTTGCCCTTAAAAGAGCAAAACACTGATATTCTGTTGTGGCCAAGAGTCAGTCGCGAAATTCCTTATTAAAAATAATAATAAAAAGTAATATAAATAAAATGCATTGTGTGTGTCCATTACATTCGCTTTATATACATTACATTTCCATATTTATACTAGATTTTTTATTAATGGGTGAAATTAGAATGGTAAACTGTACAATGATGATAAGTAGGGATAAACGCAAGTCAGTTAGCCTACCGTGACAAATTCAACAAAGACTGATCACGATGGTTTCCAGAGGGAACAGCTTGGAGGTTGCAGGCAGGACTCTAATAATATACCTTAACAGGTCAATCTCCTTACTGTTCACCCTGCAAACCGTGATTAATTCGTGATGAATTCTTCACGATGGGCCAACTGACCTAGTTTCATTACAAAAAAATATACTATTACTCTGTAACGTATGCCGATAGCGTAAGCAGAATAACCATTCCAATTTTATCCCATTAAAAAAAAAGTTTTATACTCGTATATTACAACATAATTTCATTCATTACATTATTGGCCTTTGAATAGTTTGCATG